CTGTAAACAAACGTGGTGAACAAAGATATACCTACATAATGAAAAAATGAAAAGCAAACGTCGTTTGAAGCTTACAAAGAAAACAGTGTTTGAAATGATGGACTTATTCATTGATAACATCGTTTTTAGATTTGGGGGTAAAACATTTCGCCAAGAAGTAGGCATCCCCATGGGCACCAACTGTGCTCCCCTCTCTTCCCTATGCATATGAATCGGAATTTCTGCTTAGGTTGGCAAAATCAAAACAAGGTAATTTGGCCACGAAGTTTAACTTAAGCTTCCGGGTGCATCGATGATCTAATATCGTTCAATAGCTATCAAATAGCCAATTATTTTCCACAACTTTACCCACATGAACCTGAAATTAAGGAGACAAGTGAGGCCGCCTCAAATGTTTCATACTTAGATCTATGCACAAAGATTCAGAATGGCGGAAAACTCTCCACAAGGCTTTATGACAAAATGGATGATTTCAACTTTTCAATAGTCAACTTCCCTATCATGTCGAGCAATATCCCATTAGTTCCAGCTTTTCGTATTTACATTTCACAAGTTTTGAGGTACAATCGAGTGTGCTTTCTTTATTACGATTTCAAAGAGCGTCATACCACTCCTGTTCAGGAGTTGTTCGATCAAGGTTACATGTGGAGGAAATTTACTAATTTGACGCTTCAGTGACAAAAACGATGTCCGATGCAATTTCACATTTTGACTTATATCATACGTTCCCAAATTATTGGTGAACAATTGACTAGATTTAGTATAAGTTTATGACGGGTGCCACCGGCGGGGCAGGATACGCTCACCTTTCCGCAGAGATTTGTCGCACCTATCTATTAGCTATTTCACATACGTACTAAGCCTGTTACTATAAATCTTAACTCATTCACACTCATAGGTCAGCTGAGACGACACACGTGAATATGTGACTATGATATCCTCTGTTTATAAAAACGCACTACAGCTGGACAATGAACAATCAATCAGCATATTATCGCCTAATCCTGTGAAAGGATGTGAGTGTATTTCATTCCGCTGCTTTTGGAGATTTTACTTGCGCTTTTCGACACAATATATATTTTGCCACGGATCTACCAAGCCATTTTGTGTCTGATCGAAAGATGAGTGATAATGACCGAAAGATTGGGCAATTGGAAGGGGGCGTTGGGGTTGCATGTTCTGTATAAATCTTGAATTTGGAAATTTGACAGAAACGGCAGGGGAACGGAAGTACGATGTGGTTTGGTTGATATTTGTTTTGTTTTTTTCCTACTTTTTTTCAGGTTATAGATTGTTTTATATATTGCGAGATTTATATGCGGATTAGAAGGCAAGTTTTGATTAGAAATAAACCTAGAACTATAAATGTTTGTGTGTTATTTTGTGGTCTTAGGAGTATTTGCAGTGTTAGGTGTGTGTTCGTTACCCTGTCAATATGGTTGCATTTATAGTTTTAGCAGATGTTTAAAGTTAGAAATTGAATTTTGGTAGTTACTTTGACACTTATGGTTATAGGGAGGTAAACATACTGGGCTTGTGTTGTAGAGCTGAGCGTTTCATTCCAGATTACATTTTGTTGAACTTAGTATGTTATCAACGAGTGAAGGTATTCAGCGATCTGCAGCAGGATCGCTAATTTAATTCTGGTTTCGAGGCATGACGAGATATAAAATCTGACCCTACTGTCAGCCAGGTATTCATGGCCACATGAGTCAGGGCAAGGGCAAAGGCAAGCACTGGGGCGTAACTGTCCCTGCGGAAAGGGTTTGACCCCGTTCGGACGGGTTATACTTACATGGGGAGCGCCATATAGCTGGGATATACCTGCGGCGTTAGACGGCAACCAATCAATTAAACTTACTTTGGACTAAAATTTGTTTTCAGAACAATTCCTCTGAATCAGAACAGCGTTCGTGACCCACTCGCATTATTTCGGGACGAGCCGAACAGGGACTCGTGCCACTCGGGAAGTATTTCATATTCCGGCATGAACATCAACTACCACTTCAAACAAGAACGACAACTCTATTTCTGTTAAAGTCAAACTTTAATAAACATAATTAAAGCTGGAATTAGCTACTTTATATTATAACTTGATTCAAAACTATCTTTTTTGAGAGGCAATTCTCACTATAATAACGAAATCGAAGTTGTTCGTCAATATATTGTTTTCCTTCCGGTCCTGAGGTGACACGTCAAAGAAGTCGTCAAGAAGAATTTATACTGCTTACAGTTTCATATTTTCAAAATCCACCGATCAAGATAAATCAGCGCTATATGAGTGTGTATTTTAAGCGATTGGTTAATATTTTTTGTATTTTTTCTTCTGAAGTGGTTTGACGACCTCTGTAATTCAATCGCTGACCATGTTATATTTTTAGTATTTCGTTCTTCTTTGATCGCATCTATATATTTGAACTGTATATTATTTCCGGGGTCATGTAGTGGTGCAACATCCTGGACACCTGACGCAGACTTTTAAAAAGTCGGAAAAGTGAATGTTGTCCGGGAACTGCGCTCCTGCGGTAATGGATGTACCTACCTCTATACAATTACGCAGAAACTTAGAATATTGACTTTCCGATCCGATGGTGTACATTCAAGTGGAAATACTTTCCGGTTTGACAAACGAACACTGCTGAATATTTTTGAAACGAAATTCATTCGTTAAAAACAACAAATGTCTGCGTATTTAATCATACACCAATTTTAGCACTGTGCGATTTTTTTTATTTGAAATATTCACGGAAACCGTGAGCGAACAAAATCCTGCCTGATCTAAACGACGTGACAATAACGTATGGATTTGCATGCATGTTATGCATTCAATATAAAAAAGAGCTTGCCATCAATGACAAAACTGATTTCCCTTTGTGGCGTCATACCAAGACGGGACGGTGGGGTAGCCTAGTTGTTAAAGCGTTCGCTCGTGACTCCGAATACCCGGGTTCGATTCCCCACATGTGTACAATGTGTGAAGCCCAATTCTGGTGTTCCCCGCCGTGATATAGCTGGAATATGGTTAAAGCAGCGTAAAACTGAGCTCACTCACTCGTAACAAGACAAAGAGGTTACACGAGCATGAACAGTAGTGAACATAACTTGCCCTGCACCTTGCCCTGTACCTTGCCCTGCACCTTGCCCTGCGCATTGCCCTGCACCTTGCCTAGAAAGAAACAAGCCGTTACCCAAATATGAAAACAGTCCATTGGATGATTGTAGAGTTATTGGTTTGATAAATTTGATATGGGACTTTTGCTCGTGATAATTCCCGATAAATTGATATCAAAATGTAACTGTGCAATGCACTTCGCCTGTAGATAAGGAGGGTGATCCGCAAGTACTCACTCACTCAGTAGGTTCTACCAGGGATAATCTACAACGTTATATAGTCTCCCTGGTTCTACCAAAACGTATACTATAACAATATGGAACTTTGTATTGATACAGTTTTGTAAAAGTAAAATATCACAAAAATATAATGTCATAATTCATAGCAAATTCCCACCTCCTGACGTGCGTTACAATGACCTAGTGCTAAGCATAACACCACTTTTAGTGTGTGTGTATGTGTGCGTGCGTGCGTGCGTGCGTGTGTGTATGTGTGTGAAACTAGCGGGAAATCAAGTTTCGTCGTTTATGGCAAGCCATTTTCTACATTGAATGTATAATGTACAACATACAAATCCATTTTACATATTCTGTTGCCGTTCAGATTTCAGACAGTACTTTGCTCACTTACATTTTACCAAAGCTTGTTCAACTTGACGTGATCAAGTGAATATTAATGCATTGCGTTACCGTGTCACAACTGGTTGGGTCTGTTATTATGAAGGGTGTACCTTTGTCAGCTGATTGTCAACATAACATGACAGTCCATTTGTATAGCGCTAGTTCCATGCTAGATGCATGCTCAAAGCGCACAGTTAAGAACAGCCGAGACAAGGTCGCCATTTGACATCTCAGTGTCGAGAAATCATCAGCAATGGCCTAACGTTCTATACAAAAGAAGCTACAGATGATTAAATGTTTCCGATTCGGGCTTTTAGGCGACTACTGGCACAGAAATATTGCAGTTGAACATGCAATAGAAAAAGTGATAATTGAGATGGGTGCAGAGAGTGATATCGAGAGTGAAACACATTGTGAAAGTAACTGACGTCTGTACGTTGTCAAGTTAGTAAACCAAACTAGACAGCATATGGCTGTATAAACAATTCAGTTAAAACATGAAATGATTGTTTTTTCAAATGTGTTGTTTCCGGGACAAGTTCTGTAACGAATCCACGTATGCATGCTTCGCGCGAACGCAACATTGATAACATTCTCTGCTCCCCTATTTAATGAAGTTAACTCGACCTGCCGTTTGTGCCATTTGACCTCCCTGGTCATACATATGCAGAGTAGCTCAGGTCAGGCCGAACAAGCTGTAGTTTAAGATGTTAAAATGGAGATATCGTTGCACAGTGCTTTTATTTGTGTACGACTTGAAGTGGTGAAATGTATAATTTTTTTATCGCACAACAAAATTTCGGACAACTACTGTATTTTTTTAAATGACATCGTGTAACATCACACCATCAGGTAGGATATTAAATATTCAACATTTCTGTGTAATTTTATAACCATGAAAAGATCATTTACCGGGCAACGTTCACTTTCCAGATTTTGTGAGGGATTTTAGTCGCCCCTTTCGACAAACAATGGTTCCTGGAGATCAGTTCTGAGTCGGATCCTCACAGGTCCAGATTTTATGGAAAACAACGTTTAACCAATAAACGGCAAAGAAATACTGGGTAACCGATAACCTAAATTACACTCGCACATGGATAAGAAGCCTTCGTAGCCCGTCAAATAAGTGCTAGAAATAACAACCATCACTGCCCCTTCCCAGCAGATACCCGCGATGTCTAGCTTCCATTGTCCATATGTAGGACAGGCTCCACACTTCACTGATCCTTTATCCACAATCCACATATATGCCGCGGACAAAAGTTAGTTTAGAGCTTGACCTGTTGAGGACTGGTCAAGTCAGTTGTAGGTGTGGTAAATCATTTTGGTCAACACAAGTACAATTGTGGTCGAGATGATAGGACGTCTGTTGGTGGTATTTGGTGGCCTGTGTCTGTCGTCAGGAGAATATGAACTATCGGGTGAGTGTTTACGATTCAGTACTAATTTCTTAAGAATGCCACCCTATATTCAATCATTCCTAGAAGGACGTCTTTGCGTAACGCTGATGGTTATGTGAAAAGATAATTCGCTCGTTCTTAATTAGAAGATAAAGCTACTCTGTTTTCAATTTTGCAGTCCTTTATCGTTGATTTAAGACCGCTCAATGTAATTTAAAAACCGAACGCGTTGCGTGAGGTTTTAAAAGAAACATTTAGTGGTCTTAAATCAACGATAAAGGACCGCAAAATTGAAAACAGTGTCGCTTTATCTTCATTCTAGCACGACTAATAAGCGTTTTAAAACACGCAAGAACACAAGGCGCGAAGGGTCCTTTTTCCTGGAAATCGCTTGGAATCGTCCCGTTGAGGGACAAGTTGTGTAATGAACAAAATGAGACATTTTCAACAACATACATACTTTATTTCAGGAACCAGTATGCTTGTATTTGTAACAAGTAGCATACATAAATTAAAACAAGTACAGTTTAAACTGTGTGCAAGTACAATTATTTGATTTTTCTCAAGCCAATTATTGATCTCCCCTACTGTATGACAATCGACTTGTCCAAATTCAAGCCGTGAAGTCGCTGAGTTTTGTCGCCGCTAACTGTATTCATGGAAAGTTTTAATAACTGTTGATAATCACCCTACTATTCCCAATTTGGAAAAGACCTGACATGCCACCTTTTATGTGGGATACATGGACAGTGGAAGTGGAAGGACTGGGCATTACGGCCGGGACGGAAGTGGTCAGGTTAAGACGTGTGGGCCGACGTGTGTTGTCGACGTCAACACACGTAGATCTGGACCCGGGTTGAATATATACTGCCGCTGTTGCGCTGCTGACGGGTTTTCCAGCTTCGTAGTTTCTTCACTGGGATTAGGTTCAAGAAATTCTCCTTCAAACCTTTCGCTTTTTACTGAACACCCCCCCCAAAAAAACCACACACACACAACGTGAGGAAGTCGTAAGCACTGCCTATGAAGGGTACGTGTACATCTCTGACATACATGTTTATACAAAATTTCGAAAGAAGTCGCTACGAGTCTTAAGGCACATGTCAGTATCATCAACATCGTAGATGAATATCGTCTCTGGCGATATAAGGAGCAGTGAGAGCTGGAAACTGTGCCCAGTTTTGAGTAATGTCATCTCGTTAATAGAGAGAGCCATGTCGTGCTCCTAAAGACACATCTACTTGACCTTCAGTGACATCAATTCATTAATATACAAGGGTTTGTCACGCTCCGAAATAAACTTCTAGTAGGTCTTACGAGATGATCATTTATCACCCAAAGGTCTGTTCCACAAGAGATATTGCGTGTGTAAGATCAAACGATTTCCTAGGAGATATAGTTTTGACAGGAGATTTTGCACAATGCCCTGATGTCGTCAAACACATAACTCACAATGCGATGACTTCAAAAACATGATGACGTCACAATGCTATGACATTGCTGCATTGCAAGTCTAATGGCAGTACCGTGTTCAGAGACGTACATTTTTCTTTAAAAACTAATGAAAAGTGGTGATAAATAGAATCTCACCCTCGTGTCTTATGATATGAAATATATCAACACTCGTTGTCAAAGGCAAATATATTTGTACATTTGTCAACTCGTGGTGATATATTTGATATCAAAAGACACTCGGGTGAAATTCTCTGTTTCTACTGATTAAAAGAACAAAAATCAAGTCATAATAGTTTTGAAACTAAAAGGAGATATCATATTTCAATACATGTTGGTCAGTTTTACATGCTTCTTCCAGAACAACTATGGAGATCAGTGGTTTGAGTAAACTGACGGATGTATTTTAGATCAAGATGAATACATTAATATTAGGAAATGTAAATTATGTTTTAAAGTGATAATATCTGACACAAGCAGAAAATCTAATATATATATAATGTACATCTTATAACTGAACATCTTTCACCTGTTTGTTCTCGGCAACTGGACTCGTTTTCGGTCCCGGCATAATACTGCATTTTTTTTTCATTATTTAGCTGTTGATTACTGGACGTATAATAACTGGACACATGGCATTCGCACTAACTGGGCACGTTTGCTGTCACAAGAAGTACTTTACCTGGTGGTTTATTCCGCATAACAGGACACCAAAAGGACTTTCACTCGTGTTATCAAGCACTAACCTATGTCTTGACTCTGTGGCAAGGTTGTCTGTTATCACAATATGTTATCAATGGAGTAGAAAGACAGGGCATCTAACTCTGTAGAGAAGTGAAACATGATTGGTGTAAACAATCATTTTGCTCATTTTTTTACTCTGTGGCAAGGTTGTCTGTTATCACAATATGTTATCAATGGAGTAGAAAGACAGGGCATCTAACTCTGTAGAGAAGTGAAACATGATTGGTGTAAACAATGATTTTGCTCATTTTTTGACTCTGTGGCAAGGTTGTCTGTTATCACAATATGTTACCAATGGAGTAGAAAGACGGGGCATCTAACGCTGAAGCGAAGTGAAACATGATTGGTGTAAACAAGTATTTAGCTAATTTCTTGACTCTGTGACAAGGTTGTCTGTTATCACAATACGTTATCAAAGGAGTAGAAAGACAGGGCATCTAACGCTGTAGAGAAGTGAAACATGATTGGTGTAAACAATGATTTTGCTCATTTTTTGACTCTGTGGCAAGGTTGTCTGTTATCACAATATGTTATCAATGGAGAAGAAAGAGAGGGCATCTAACGCTGTAGAGAAGTGAAACATGATTGGTGTAAACAATGGTTTTGCTCATTTTATGACTCTGTGGCAAGGTTGTCTGTTATCACAATATGTTATAAATGGAGTAGAAAGACGGGGCATCTAACGCTGAAGCGAAGTGAAACATGATTGGTGTAAACAAGTATTTAGCTAATTTCTTGACTCTGTGACAAGGTTGTCTGTTATCACAATACGTTATCAAAGGAGTAGAAAGACAGGGCATCTAACGCTGAAGAGAAGTGCAAATTGATTGGTGTAATCGTTTGTAACAAAAACATATTAAAGGAGGTTATAAAGGCTGTGGAGATCAAACTTCGAGGAATACATATGTTGTATTATGTCATACATTGTATATATATGGACCAATAAAAGACTAAATCTATAATTATGATACTTTAGTATAACGTTTATTCAGGTTCATGATATAACTATAACTCACTGTGAGAACTTGCGCTTTAATTTGATTGTTTGCATAGGAAAATAGTCATTCATAAATTATTTTAGGCAACTGAAATTACTGTAAGTTGTAAAAAAATGCAAATTAAGAACAATATCCCAAGGAATATCCGACGCCAATCTGTTCAGGGTACATGGTAATTCAATTCCATTAGCAAGAGGAGGAGTTGTAGATAAACATGGCCTTTGAAAAGGAAGGTCAGCCAGTTCACAGTTGTATTTGACTATAATGACACATACTGGTTGAGGGAGATGTCTTTCTCCCAGATGACGTTGTGATGTAAATTTAATACGAGGTCAAACCTCGGCCGTTTATACCCCAGGCAGCTTGTGTTCTCTCGGATAATGTTGCGATATTTATTTGATACGAGGTCAGACCACTGTTGATGGACATTAACCTGGTGTGCAGTCAACCATCACTCTGGTACGGTATGTGTTTGTTGAGACGTAAACCAAACTATTCATCAAGAAATCACTTCTGGTATTTTGTGAAGGTGAAGGTGACTTACATAAAGCGTGTTTTCGTCTACCTCTCTGTCGGGGTGTACCACGCCCTCTTTAAAGTTGAATAATTACCCGAGATACACTAAACTCTTTTGCATGTCTGTAAAATTTAATGGCTTGTGTTTAGGTGACTATAACTATGACATCTTGGTCTCGTGCAGCAACGGGACATTTGAACCAATATCATTATCGTGTGTAGGCAATGAGTGGTGATCAGACATACAGCGAAAGAAGTGATGTTTCCCATCGTCTCTTAAAGGCAGATCTTACTGACGCATCAAAAATAGTGCAACGTAATTCGGTATCACACTAGATTGACAAAGAGTCATGTTTATCAAGTGTTTGTGTGTAATATTCGCTCTTTTACTGTCAACGGATACTTTTATTATAACCTCCCAAAATAAAACTAAACTATATTAAGTGTGTCTTTATATTTCCATGACTGTCTTTAGGCAACCTTCGGAAAAGAAAGGACCATAGGTGTGTATGTGTGCCGCACCCAGCAATATTCCAGCTATATGGCGGCGATATGTAAATAATCGAGTCTGACAATCCAGTGATCAACAGCATGATCTACGCAATTGGGATACGATGACATGTCAACGAGCTTGATCACCGAGACCGTTAGTCGCCTCATACGACAGCATGGGTTACTGAAGATCAATACCCGAATCTTCACGGGGTACACCATACCGTTTCAATGTCCGAACCATTATCAGACCAATTCATAATTCTTGTAGCGGCTGATACTGTCCGATCCTTACCTGTTCAACTAGTAATATCCGCCCTGTACCTATATATAACCTGACACATGTAAATGTATTTCAGATTATGCAAGCCACCCTTGTATTCGTGAGTGTGGGGAGGGAGCGCCCCCTATGACGTGCACCTACAACTTCACAGTAGAAGACTACTATGTCTTGACCAAGGCTTGCTACGACTGTCCGTACAACATCACCGACTGCTACCGTCCGCACTGTGTCGCTACTGATGGCGTAGGGAGAGGCATCATCACAGCTAACAGGATGCTACCAGGACCTGCGATACAGGTAAGACATTTTCTTTCTGTGCTGGACTGAGAGTGCCATGGCTACGAATGTTCCATTGCTGCGTTTCAACGTGAATGAAAGCGATAAAAACCTTTTGCAAATTCATAATAAATCTCTATTGAGAGCAGAGTCCACCGCTCGATTTCAACGATAGCATCAGCATATATCTGAACTATCCAAATAATGATGACACGAGGTGCTCGCGAAATCGCGAGCCAGCCATCGAAACGTAACGTCATGTCAGTCCAAGCCAGATAGACCGCCTCTGTGGTGTAGTGGTTAGAGCGTCCGCCCGGAGAGCGGAAGGTCGCGGGTTCGCCTGACCGCGTCATACCAAAAGACGTTAAAATATGGTACTTGTTGGTCCCTGCCTGGCGCTCGGCATCAATGGGTATAGCAAGGACTGGTCGGCTCGGAGTCAGTATAATGTGTCTGAGTGGGGTATTCATGCTTCACTTCGGCATGGTATCCCAGTGGGCTAGCACTATAAAACCAGCTTAAGTCTGGGCTAGTACATGCAGCCGCACATACACATACACACACATGCACGTCGTCATATGAGTGAAATATTCTCAAGCACGACGTTAAAACCCAATTTCACCTCACCTCACCAAGCCAGATATCTTGATAATTCAGAAGCATGGTGGTCATGCTCCCTAACTGGATTGATGCATTCAATCGCATATCAGGTGCGTACTGACTGTGACAGTCTAGTTGCTCTTGCTGTCCTTCGTTGACAGGCTGTTTTTAATTTACATGTATTTATGGTAAATAAAAACAGACCCGTTTAAAAGATTGCCAATGTAGCTGTAAATCCTAACTCACTCACTCATGTTGTAAGTCGCTGGATGATCGATTATACAGACACACTGTATGGATAAAAAACTTCTTTATTCGGAATATGCGACGTTTCGATACAGATTCTTGTATCGATGTCAAGCAGATTGTTTAGTCCAAAGCCATCTGTCAAAGCGAGCAAAATGTTGCTTCGTTGTATTTAACTCTGCAGTAAGCGTTTCACGATATGGCTGAAATATTACCATTGTGACGTAACACTTTACCTCACTCACACACTCTACTGGCCTTTGTTGACATGTTTTATGATATAACGTTATGTAAGATGAATGTATTATAATGTTTTCGTAACGATATGACTGAAATACTGACAGTGTGATCAAGCCTCTCAATTCACTCTCTCACTGAAATACCGTATATGTAAAACATGGCAATGTGCACAGATTACGACGGTCGCTGACTACTACGTGTACTTGTTAAGATTACTGCAACTGTAATATACAGCGTGCAGTTTAGCAAACAAACAAGCACCTGACATCGTGGTGTTTGCTAAATCCTATACTTACCACACATCACCACTCACTCCATGTTATAAGGGTCACCCTACAAGCAGCGTGTTCCCCCACACGCTCTACAGAGGTGTCAGCAAACATAGCCAGGAGAATTATATACCAAGTTATATTGTACGGGAGACACGAAAACCTACTCAGACCCTGTACGTCATTAACCAAGCTTTCTTCATGGTAGTGATTGTGTCGTCTTTGATTTGCTGAATCAAGCCCGACAGTACATTCAATGTTTGTCCAACCCGATTATGGTTTCACGAATGGTATATATAATCCCTAGTATGTTATTTTAGTGGCAAGGCTCATCGCAACTATTGTGCTGTGAAGGCTGAATATGTTAAATCGGTTTTTACAATGTATACGCGCTGTGCGTCAAGAGAGCAAGGTCGCCTAGTGTACACTATGAACGCATTTACTTTTCTCATCCATTAAGGTATGTCACAACGACATGATCATCGTCAACGTGCACAACAAGCTACACGGGTCACAGGCAACCACCATCCACTGGCACGGTGTGTTCCAGAAAGGTTATCAGCATCATGACGGTGTCAGCATGATAACCCAGTGTCCGATAACACCACACTCCAAGTTCCAATACAGGTGCTCACTGATAAAACGTTACCCGTGAAGATCCGGGTTAGAATTGGTCTTAAGCAACCCATGCTTGTCGTAAGAGGCAACTAACGGCAGTGGGTGTTCAGACTCGCTGACTTCAGTCACACATGTCATCGTATCCCAATTGCGATCAATTCTCGTGATGTTAATGACTGGGTCGTCTGGTCCAGGACCGGCCATAGGGATACTGACATTTATATTGTGGATTTATTGCTTAATGCGGCGTTGAACCAAAACGTAATCACGAAAAATAAACTATACATAGAATAAGAATACAGCTTATACAAGGGAAGTTAATACTGGATTAAAGACAATAGCCATGTCGCATATAAACGTACTACCTTTGTTTCATCGTTTTGCATTTGGCTTACGATGGCAATACAGAATTTCACTTCCCGACGTTGATATATATACCTGAATCTCAGGATCCATTTTGACACGCTGTTCTTGTGCCTGAAGGTTCAAGGCAGGTAACCGGGGTACTCTCTATTGGCACGGCCATGCTGGCCTTCATCGCTCTGATGGTTTATTCGGGGCGCTGATCATCCGGGAACCTCGGTCACGTGATCCTGCCTCGCACCTGTACGACCATGACCTTCCGGAACACACCATGATTGTACATGACTGGCTTGTGGAACTGACCATTAACAGGTTTGCCGGACATCATCACGCTGGATACGACAACAAACCTGCGTCTATGCTCATCAATGGTGATATATACTTTCAATTCCTCTTCATGAGCTTAAAATATCAATATGAATTCTCACTGCAGACGTTCATAGACCGCAGCATCGACTATTTTGATACTATACATAAAAACGCCTTGAATAAAGATGTTCAAATAAGGTTCCGTATTGAAGACACTTAGTCATTTTGTTAATAAATAATTATAGAACTAACTACATTAAGTAAAATGAGTAGTGTGTGGTCTGCTGTCTATTGTTAAACACTTGTTAACATTGCCCTTAATTGTTCATGAATTTATTGACCAAATCATATTTCTAGGCAGTAAAAGTCTTCTTAATTTGTGACATACAGAAACTCATACGAGGTTCAAAACGTTTCAGAGATCATAAGTATAACAAGGTGAAATCGTGATAGTTGCAGAGAACGCTTTTAAAAAAAAGTTTTTTAAGGTATGAGCATAGTCTGTCTCTAGGTGTTTGCTGGGTTTGGCCAAGGTGTCTTAGACGCCGCTTCTCGATGTGCATGCAGAGGGTTGCGTCCCTTGGGGACAGCCATAACGAGTGATTGTCGGTTCGAATCGCAGGAGACCCATGTAGATCCGGGGTAGAATAGGTCTTCAGCAACCCATGCTTGCCACAAAAGGCGACTATGTTTGTCGTAAGAGGCGACTAAAGGGATCGGGTGGTCAGGCTCGCTGACTTGGTTGACACATGTCATCGGTTCCCAATTGTGCAGATCGATGCTCATGCTGTTGATCACTGGATTGTCTGGTCCAGCCTCGATTATTTACAGACCGCCGCCATATAGCTGGAATATTGCTGAGTGCGGCGTAAAACTAAACTCACTCACACAATCGAATCGCCGGTTGTCCCGCATTCGGTTCAGACTGTGTGATTAACTTGTGAGATGTATATAACGAGGATATTGTTCAATGATGCGTCATATACACACAACCTACACTCTTGCCATCCGTCTCTAGGTCGTGGAGCGTTCAGGGCGTTCCCCAGTACAGACACCAACAGCACCGTCTACACTCCTTACTCTGTCTTCAAAGTCAGGAGGGACCAGAAATACCGCTTCAGAGTCATCAGCAACGGCATCCTGAACTGCCCCATCCAGGTCTCTGTAGACCACCACGACATGACCATGATCGCCTCCGATGGCGTCCCACACGACCCTGTCGTTGTCAGCTCGTTCAACATCTTCGCTGGAGAGAGGTACTCTAACATCAGTTCCGAAGTTTTATCATCTTGAGTACGAGTGACGCAGTCGAATCGCACATCTCTCAGCAGAGTTGTTTCCCTTTGGCTTCGAAACTGATTATGGTTCAAGGTTTGTAAACACCACCAGTGGTGTGGGCTACCCCGGAGTTTCAAGAGAGTGGAAACAAAATTCAAAACGTGTCAGTTATTCTGGGCTCTTGTGCTACGTCAGTCTGCACTTCCGTATCTAACTGACATACTGACAAAGCGGCTTTAAAACAAACTCACTTATTTACTCCCTGCCGTAACAATAATTGTTTACAATAGGACTACATGTTGCACTATTTCTATTAGCCTTAGTCAGAAACAATTTTTACTGTATAATGTCTCTGTTCTTAGGTTCGACTTCATATTGGACGCTGACAAGGACGTGGGTAACTATTGGATTCGAACTCGAGGAATGGCGGATTGTAGTGTGAAGTCCGCGAAACAGGTCGCCATCTTGAGGTATGAAAACGCCACGGAGACGGAGCCCAGTGAACCAACAGACTATGAGAGTGGGCGGAGAGAAGGGAAGGTAAGCCTGAAGGTGATGTGCATTACAGGAGCCCAGTGAACCAACAGACTGAGAGTGGGCGGAGAGAAGGGAAGGTAAGCCTGAAGGTGATGTGCATTACAGGAGCCCAGTGAACCAACAGACTGAGAGTGGCGGGAGAGAAGGGAAGGTAAGCCTGAAGGTGATGAAGATTACACAGGAGCCCAGTAAACCAACAGACTGAGAGTTGGCGGAGAGAAGGGAAGGTAAGCCTGAAGGTGATGAACATTACAGGAGCCCAGTGAACCAACAGACTGAGAGTGGGCGGAGAGAAGGGAAGGTAAGCCTGAAGGTGATGAACATTACACAGGAGCCCAGTGAACCAACAGACTATGAGAGTTGGCGGAGAGAAGGGAAGGAAAGCCTGTAGGTGATGTGCATTACTTTAGCCTAGTGGACCTACTGACCTTTAGAGCGGGTGAAGTGTGAAGGTTATAACGAAGGTAATATTCATAAAACCTGTCCCTGTAAGACACGTAAGATAACAACCAAGCGGCAACACATCTTATATAATAACGTATAGGTGACTTCAATGTTAGATTCAGTAGGGAGTACGGAGGGCTCTATCCTTTAATAAGGCCCACATTAACTATAAGTAGATAACACTCCAGATGTCATGCTGTCACCTTTGTGATGATCCCAATGACACGTCTGCAGATGTGAACATTTATATTCATGTTAACATTAAGGTTTTATACAGTTTGCAAGTCAAAGACGTCTATAACAGTGTTAGTGAACACGCAGAATCTCACAGAAACGCTACGTGAAGCCCTGATTCGTCAAAGAATCGTTGTATTATCTCTGTCACTTTCCTAACTTGAATCATAAATAATGTGAAATGATTTCCCTAAACAGTGCTTGATTAACTTAACTTCTGGGCCAAGGAATGAATACACCCATCATTGATGGCGATAAAGTAGAAAAAAAAATGGTCATTAGATGCTGATGTAATTAATTCAGGTGTCATGGATTTGTTTTGGACCTTGCGATTGCAGTGTTTGGCGATTGTTTCAGAACGGTTCGGAAGCGAATGTACAAACATGTACATGTGAATGCTCCCCCCCCCCCCCCCACACACACTACAATTTCTGTAAAAAAAATAAAGTTAGTGACCTCCTGCTGGTCATGTACAAAATCAGTGACCCTGCTTCCCACAATTTTTAAGCATTATTTTATTTTTTAATGTAATATGTACAAAATTGCTATAGACCCATAGATGACCCCCTATCTCCCAAAACAAAATAGGTGACCCCCCTGAAAATTATCATCACCCCCCTATCCATAAATTATGAATGGTCCCTTAGTTTACCGTGATACTCACCGCCTCCGTGGTTAGAGCGTCCGCCCGGAGAGCGGAAGGTCGCGGGTTCGATCCCCGACCGCGTCATACCAAAAGACGTTAAAATACGGTACTTGTTGGTCCCTGCCTGGCGCTCGGCATTAATGGGTACAACAAGTACTGGTCGGCTCGGAGTCAGTATAATGTGTCTGAGTGGGGTATTCATGCTTCACTGCGGCATGGTATCTCAGTGGGCTAGCACTAAAAACTCAGCTTCAGTCTGGGCTAGTACAAGCAGCCGCACATACACATACACACGCATGCACGTCGTCATATGAGCGAAATATTCTCAATCACGACGTTAAACCCAATTCCACCACCACCACCACCGTGGTACTCGAATCATACTCCTGTGTGGCGACTGTGTGGATGTGAGAGGTAGATAACATGATACAAAAACTTCTCTCACGCGTTTACTTTGCTTCTGCGCTTTAACGGCAACACGGAGTAAGGTCATCACACATCAGTTACCCGACCCATCATTCTGGTGATGGAGACTGTTAATAGTTGTACCATTCAGATAACCTTCGTAATATCAAATCCATACTTTCATTTGGTTTGCAGATTATGTGCTGTAACATTACTAACCCACGTTTCAGTTGCTGAACCCATGGAACAAGAAGGGCACCCCTGACTTGACCCCCGTGTCGTGGTTGAACACCACCATGGCAGATCCCCTCCACATGAAACAGGTGCCCGATAAAATGTTTTACGTTGCCATGGACTTCAACAAATTAGACAACTATGTGTTCAACCACGAAGATTTATACCCCTTGGCTGCCGTAAACAAGAAGAATAAACTCTACTTGCCACAGATGAATCACATCACCAACATTGTACCGCCGTCACCCCTACTGTCTCAGTTTGAGGATATACCGAAGGTGAGTTCGACCAAACTGGTGTAGTCACTGATGTGAGTGGTCCAGCCACCACAGGGGTTTGTAACGCTAAAACCTGCCATCAAGATATATACTGTCACTGACGGGATCTTAGATAATAACCATAACCACTCTGAGTGTGTGGGTCCGAATCCCGGATGGGACTCAACCCCAAAAAGTAATAGAATCTGTACTTTACTTAGAAAGTGTAATCCCAAATTAATTTAATATAACATATGTTACATTTGACCACTTTCTAAATGGCATTGTGTAATCACAATAACCATTGTGGACTGTCTGCCAGAACAGATTCCATTTGCGTAGAGGGTAAAATACTGGTGAAAGTCAATGGCTGGCAGAGGGGCTTGTAAAGCTAAAAACCGCCATCAAGGTATATGCTGTCACCAACGGGGTCTTAGCTCTATATACTGACTTTCACCAGAGACAGTCGACAATGATTATTATCTGACGATGACGGTTTAAATTGAACTTAAACCAAAGCATCCTGCCACAATATCAATGGAACACTTCTTGTTGGGATTAATTTTGGCCCCAAGATTAATGCGCTGATCTATAACGTGTATGCCTGAGCGCCAGTGTTGAGTGGGTATGTAAGTGTGTTTATGCTGTTAGTTTTGTGTTTGTCTGTTTGTTTCTGTATGTGTGTGAGCGCCTTTGTGTGCCTCTGTGGGTGCCTTGTGTATCTGTTGTATGTACCCGCATGTTTTAACCGCGTATGGTTCCTCTAACAAGCCCCCTGCACTGTTCCGTTTCAGTATGACGGATAATCTTTGCTTCCTGCTAACGACAGATCAAAATTGCAAAGACCGCAAGGGTCTATACTCTGTACAGTCTCATCACATATTTCATTACGTCCTCCTGAGAGGGTACGTAAGTCCCAAAACATTCCCAGTAAATTAAAACTCAATTTTTTTAATCGTAGAATATGTGTAACTTTAATATATGGCTAGATTTGTCTGAATTGCTAACAGCTGAAAGGATGATATAAATCCAAATAGGGCCCATGCAGGAAGCAAATGTACTGTAAGTCCCCATGGTCCCTAGAATGGTGATCTACCTCCAGTTGTTGGCAAAATATAGCCTGTTTTCATATTGTATTGTCATCTATAGTTAAACTGTTTTAGATCTCATTACTGGTTTTAAATTCGAATCTGTGATAATCTAGTTATTTTACTGACCTTCGTTGACTGGTTTTTACAATTTACCATTAATTACTAGTATAAAATTAATTGTTCTCGTTACGATATGGCTGAAATATTGCCGATGTGACGATAAATTTTAACTCACTTAGTCACTCACTAACATAATTCATTACAACAGTATCCCGTTTATAAATACCGCCGATCTGCATCAAGAACATCCGAGGGTTACGGCCTAATCTGTCGACTTATGAACAGTCAGCAGTGCCGATCCGTCGAATCATGCTTGAGTGGTTCTGTGCTGATCGGTCGAATTTCACAGCGTGTTAACACACTGGGAGAGTCTAAGTTCATTAATGAAGGGGTCGGCTTGTATGGTGTGTGTAAGAAACAGATTACTTCACTCGTGTCTGTCAGATACCAATTATCTTACAACTCGTTCTTTCAAAACGTATTTAACTCGCTTTCGCTCGTAAAATACGTTTTGAAACAACTCGTAAGATAAATGGTATCTGACAGACACTCGTTTAGTAATCTCTATATCTAACTCAAATGTATTGTGCTTGAATGAGTTTATAGAGGTCATACATTTTAAAAGGTTATCAAATTAAGATGACGCTACTCCCACTTTAAAAGGGATGTGAAGGTGATACTTCAATTGCAAAATAAACCAAATGTTTGTTTTCGTTTTCGTTTGCTATGCGAGTAGCAGATATCATGGTCGGTCTGTTGTCAAGGGTCATAACTCTTTTTTGTGTGGTAACATTTTATATGACGAGACGGTACGTTCTAGGTTCGAGTCGGCGGCGTTGAAATAAAACAGTGTTTTTTTAATTTTGGTCTGCAATATAATTAGGGTCGGTCGGGCGATGAGAAACACAAAAAAATAAAAATTCTGCCTATATGAGTAGGCAAAGATAGGTACAAAAGTACAAAAATAAAGAGAGTCAAACCATCCAACACCCCTTGCGACCGGGCGATGAGAAACACACAAAAATAAAAATTCTGCCTATATGAGTAGGCAAAGATAGGTACAAAAGTACAAAAATAAAGAGAGTCAAACCATCCAACACCCCTTGCGATATCCGAGTATCTTCCCTGTGTTGCGAATATTCACGTAGCACCCTCAGACATCTGAATCCAAGTATGTTATACCAGTATTCCGGCTTAGGTGTTTAGAAAAAAGTCCATCTTTTCCTTGCATCAACAAACAGTCATTGTAAAACTTGTACCGAGTCATTCCATATAGGCTATCAAGAAGGTCGTTATAAATTTATACAAACCGACTCTGAAAACCGTCCTCAACATTCTGTACTTCATTATCAAGAATGAAAACATTTGTCGTATTAAACTTAGAATGAGTTGATCAGAAGGAGTAATCTGAATTTGTCTATATTTTGAATCCATTCCTCCTGCAGCAACACGCGCATTCAACACCAATAAAATACTAGGACTGATCAGGAGAATACGAAATACGAAATTGCTGATACAAACGGTTCTGCAGATATTGGAACCTCCAAGAGCTAATATTTTCTCTTGACAGGACATGTTCTGCGGCCCTCACAACACGAAGAACTGCAGCCATGAGTACTGTGAATGCATCCACCTCATCAAGGTGGACTTGGACGACACGGTGGAGTTTGTGCTCATTGACGAGGGCGTCACCTTCAACGCAAACCATCCGATGCATCTACATGGCCACCACTTCCGGGTTGTTGCCATGGACAGGGTGAGACGTTAGCAGTTGTCGATATCAAATATTTGAAGGGCATTTGGAAGTGGAATGCATAAGAAAAGCACGATTTATGGATGTCAACTTCTCTATTGTGATTAACACGACGTTTCGGATGGAGCAAGCATACACTCCGAAACGTCGTGTTATTCGCAATAAGTGATGATGATTTTTTTACGGAGAATCATGTACAATGTGAATGACCCACCCTAACATTTATGTACAAATTAAGTGACCCCACCCCCCTGCATGTCATGTACAAATCAATGAACTCCCTCACATAATTTTAAGCTTATTTATAAATATTTAAATACAAATAACTTTAAATGTTAAAAAAATGCTGACCCCCCACCTCCTCAGTACGAAATGGGTGAACCCCCCACCCTAAAATCATCAACACCTCTCTCTCTCATACATACATACATAAGTTTGGAATAGAAGAATACGCAGCACGACATTCTCTCTCTCTCTCTCTCTCTATCTGTCTGTCTGTCTGGCTATCTGTCTGTCTGTCTGTCTCTCTGTCTGTCTGTCTGTCTGTATATAATCAATATCATTGTGGTAGAAAAATGCCGATGCCCGCTAGTGAATCAAGATCTCTGTTCTCAAGGTCAACCAATCAACCTCCTTGGAAGAGATAAGAAGAATGGATGAAGCTGGTCTGATTGAAAGGAATCTGGAAACGCCCATCGCAAAAGACACTGTCACGGTTGCCGATGGAGGATACACCGTCATAAGATTTCATGCTGATAACCCGGGTAAGTTATAGTGTCACACTTCTCATGATAACCCGGGTAGGTTAGACGACCATCAACGTTCATGATAACCCGAGTAGGTTAGACGACCATCAATGTTCATGATAACCCGGGTAAGTTAGACGACCATCAATGTTCATGATAACCTGGGTATGTTAGACGACCATCAATGTTCATGATAACCCGGGTAGGTTAGACGACCATCAATGTTCATGATAATCCGGGTATGTTAGACGACCATCAATTTTCATGATAACCCGGGTAAGTTAGATGACCATCAATGTTCATGATAACCCGGGTAGGTTAGACGACCATCAATTTTCATGATAACCCGGGTGTGTTAGACGACCATCAATGTTCATGATAACCCGGGTAGTTTAGACGACCATCAATGTTCATGAAAACCCGGGTATGTTAGACGACCATCAATGTTCATGAAAACCCGGGTAGGTTAGACGACCATCAATGTTCATGATAACCCGAGTAGTTTAGACGACCATCAATGTTCATGATAACCCGAGTAGTTTAGACGACCATCAATGTTCATGATAACCCGAGTAGTTTAGACGACCATCAATGTTCATGATAACCCGAGTAGTTTAGACGACCATCAATGTTCATGATAACATGTGTGGGTAAGAGGGCCATCATCTTGCACGATAACACAGGTAGGTTAGACGACAATCACTTTTGTGATGATAACCTGGGTAGGTTAAACGATCACCACTTTTCATGATAACCCGGGTATGTTTGACGAGCAACATTTCTTTGTGAAAACCCATTTAGGTTAGACGATCATGTTTTGTGATCATAGTTTGCAAGGTCGTTGATAATCTACACGATCATCACATTTAACAATTTTCATACGTATAGGATACACCAGTATCACCTTTTACAATTATAACCCAATGAATAATTTCAGATTATACGGGCACGTTGTATCTGATCAGGCTTAATCATGATTAACTTCATATGTAATTTACAACGATATTTGATGTGGACAATCGAAGGAGATCGTTCATGATCATCAGATGAAACGTGGATTACTAGAGTTGGTGGTACATTGCTTAGATTAAATGTGGATGACGAGGGTAATTAGTATTAGATATTAAGATTAAATGTGGATTTCGGGGGGTTCTGGAACACGATCATCAGATTAAATGTGGATGTCGAGGGTAATTAGTATTAGATATTAAGATTAAATGTGGATTTCGGGGGGTTCTGGAACACGATCATCAGATTAAATGTGGATGACGAGGGTAATTAGTATTAGATATTAAGATTAAATGTGGATTTCGGGGGGTTCTGGAACACGATCATCAGATTAAATGTGGATGACGAGGGTAATTAGTATTAGATATTAAGATTAAATGTGGATTTCGGGGGTTTCTGGAACATGATCATCAGATTAAATGTGGATGACGAGGGTAATTAGTATTAGATATTAAGATTAAATGTGGATTTCGGGGGGTTCTGGAACACGATCATCACATTAAATGTGGATGACGAGGGTAATTAGTATTAAATATTAAGATTAAATGTGGATTTCGGGGGTTTCTGGAACACGATCATCAGATTAAATGTGGATGACGAGGGTAATCAGTATTAGATATTAAGATTATATGTGGATTTCGGGGGTTTCTGGAACACGATCATCAGATTAAATGTGGATGACGAGGGTAATTGGTATTAAATATTAAGATTATATGTGGATTTCGGGGGTTTCTGGAACACGATCATCAGATTAAATGTGGATGACGAGGGTAATCAGTATTAGATATTAAGATTATATGTGGATTTCGGGGGTTTCTGGAACACGATCATCAGATTAAATGTGGATGACGAGGGTAATTGGTATTAAATATTAAGATTATATGTGGATTTCGGGGGTTTCTGGAACCCGATCATCAGATTGAATGTGGATGACGAGGGATTAGGATATTAAGATTATGTATTCGATATTAATGACGAGGGTAGTTAATGTGGATTTATGTGGGGTACTTGGATGACCAACTTTCTTCTCTATGCCGTTCCACTAACCGATCTTAACTAAGATCAATCTTAGCAAGTTACGCCAATTTTACAATCGTCTTAGCTAAAAGTTACACCCGTTCCACTAACCGATCTTAGGCCGATCGTAGCCGGTCCCAATCTTACGATCCGATCCAAGCTTAGATTGAGACTCTTTCGTGCGAGAGATAGAGGAATGCGAGGCACGAGTTATCTCCCTTTGCATAGACTAGCAAATGATGGAAGTAGTTTACGAACCAACTGAGTGAGTGAGTGAGTTTAGATTTACGCCGCACTCAGCAATCGTCAAGCTATATCGCGGCGGTCTGTAAATAATCTAGCTAAGATGCATAGCGTTCACAAACATGAGCGTTCATGTTAACTAGTGAACGCTATGTATCTTAGCTCTAACTAATCGAGTCTGGACCAGACAATCCAGTGATCAACAGCATGAGCATCGATCTGCGCAGTTGGGAACCGATGCCATGTGTCAACCAAGTCAGCGAGCCTGACCACCCGATCCCGTTAGTGGCCTCTAAAGACAAGCATGGGTTATTTAAGTTCAATATTCTAATCCGGGCCTTCATGGGTATTTTCCAACCAAGTGTAAACGTGGAGAAAAAACCTAGAGCAAAATATTAGGGTAGTGAGCACCTTGGTTTCAGGTGCAAGTGCGTGTGAACGCTGGGTATCAGGCATAATATAATAATTATACATGCATATTTATAGTACGCCTATTCCACATCCTGGGGCATGCTCAAAGCCCTATGTACAGATAATTTACACGAGAGTATTTACAGCCGAGATTATAAGTAATATACTGAGAACAGGTTTTAAGTCTGGACTTAAAAATGTCAATTGTGTCAGAGCTTTTAATATGTGCCTGGACCTTGTCAATCAGAATAAACAAGGCGTGACGATGCATCCTCTATAACGTATGTAGAATCTGTCAGTGGTCTTGAATAACATGCGGCCTGCCTTTAGAATATTCCCCACCAAATAAGCGCACGTGAAATCAAACATATTTGTATCTTTTTGTTTTAGAACATTGTTCACTTCACGGCTGTCCCTATTCTTAACCATGACGTTGCAATATTGTTGTACAAATGTGTTACACCGACTCGCTCGGTTGTGTTCCCATGACGACAGTGGTCAGACTGGCCTGACATTTGTAAGGCTTCAGTGCAGTGTTTGTTGACATCAAAGAAATATACAAATTCATTTCATGGGGGATTTTAGGGGACGCTCACGGTGAAATGCTCGCTCTTATTTTTCACATAGAATAGGAAAGCCACCATTTTGGTTTCTCTACGATTGATTTTAGCTATCCTAAGTTGGTCATGAGCAACTTAGACTTTGAATCTTAACTTTACGATTGACTTAGGTAAGATTGGTTAGTGGAACGGTATGCCGATCGTAACGTCACGCTAAGATTGGGATTTTAGGGGTTTACGATTGGCATAGGCTAAGATCGGTTAGTGGAACGGCACCACCTTTATTTGATATGGTGCGACGTTTCGGTATAGCTTCTTATTCCGTTGTCAAGCAAAAGTAAGGTAATACAGCACAGAACCGACTTATATACATGTAACAGGGATTAAGTAAGACAACATGAGGGAATACATCAAAGGGATTAACAACAACAACAATGGGATAGGTAATAATACGATAACAATGGGAGGAAGCCAATGTTGAGGAGGCAGAAGAAGATATACATAGCAGATTGGGTAGGTAATGATACAATAACAATGGGAGGAGGCCAATATAGAGGAGGCGGAACAAGGTGTTCATAGCAGTTGGGGTAATAATACAATATAATGGGAGGAAGCCAAGGTAGCGGAACAAAGTACATTGTATACATGGCAGATGGGATAAATGGGCAATGATGGCTGGAGTGCTCTGTTCTGTTGTTTTTATCAGTTCATTGTAGGCGGATGGAATGAGGTATCCTTGGTCTCTGTTGATTGAGGGCTTGTGTCGGCGGATTTGAACTGCTTCTGCCAGTTTTCTTTTGGTGAAGTCCTGGAGGTTTTTTGATAATATTTCCACATTGTCCCATTCAATGTTGTGATTAGGACGGTTGATTATGTGTTCAGAGATAGCTGATTTACGGTCTAATTTCTTGGTACTGATTTGGGTACGGTGGTTTATTCCTTATTATAAACTTATTAATTATTATCTTTACTCCCACCTACCCCGTCGGCGACAATGGCTACAGCCAGAAGCCGACGTTAAACCTCAAATCGTTATCATCATATGACTTTACTCTTGCTTGACAACGGTACAAGAAGTTATACCGAAACGTCGCATCATATCAGATAAAGAAGTTGACATCCATAAAGTATTATACTTTTCTATTATCCATCAACTTCTAAAATGCCAATCAAACAGATGTATTTTACAGGGAATAGTAACTACAACATATACAACATGCACGTGATTCGTGTGAAAAGACGTGGTTACATTACCGAAGATTTTCTTATTATTGATGGTCACGTGGATAAATGATCGATGGTTGAATTCAAGCACTGTGTGAGAAACGAGAGAAAGTTTGAAATCCGACCAACGGTTGGCAGCAGATCACACGTACAAGCCATCGTGCAGGGAACCGTTATCAGAATGTCATTTTCTGACCATTAACTGACCACACGGTGTCTTCACAATGAAAATATGACTCTTCGCATCGGCAGTTTTTCAACCTTCGCATTACAAAGATTATATTTCTATTAAAATATTTCTAATCACAACACGTATAGTTGTGTTTGCCTCTCTGCTGGTGTTGAAGGAACATAAACTCTGTCAAAAAAAGAAACGCAACCCCTGTCCTCAGATATGAAAAATTCGTTTGAATGAAGTTATTGCTTCCAAACTAAATTTTATTCGAATGTATTGAAATGATACACGTAATTAATGAAGATTACCATCCAAACAACTGCATTTGTACGCATAAGTGTATTTTATTGCTTATTCCGTCACAACGCATGAAATGACCCTCATGGTGACT